AATTAAAAGTAAAAACGAAATTTATGTAATAAAATAATTCATAATTAAAAAGTTATTATAAATAAAGGGCCTAATTGCCCCAAGAAAATTAAGTCTCGCCTTTGCTTTCTGATAAATAAAAAAGTCCCAATTTTATTAAATAAATCACTCATAATATTACATTAGGCACTGCATCGCTAACACGCTTCTTAAGTCCTAAATTATACTTTGTTGTTCGTTTAACCTATTGTTCACGTGACCCAAACCTTCCGAACACTCGTAACCAACTTTGTGACCTAACTAACCCAAGCCTTAACATCCATCAGCCTAATCTAACACATCTCTTTCATAAGGTTACTTACCTTTGGTTACGTGAGTTTTGGTATTGTTGAGCGACCGAGTCACAGTCATTTCTATATTCACATTTTTGGTGGTGACTATGAGATCCGAAAATAAAGCAACAACAATTGCTACCCCCCCTCCCCGTTTCGAAAATTGTATTTGCATAAGGAAGTCTAATTAACTAAGAAACCTACCTAAGTTGAATAGAAGCCTAATATCAAGACATCCTGGAAGGAATTCTTGCACAGTTTAACCCTACCATTATGAACGCCAACCAGCTTAAAGAATTGATCGAAAGTATGACCAAGTCCTTCGAAGACGCAGCCAAGGATATCGTCAAAGGAAATGGGTCTGGGTCTAAGGAAACAAACCATATGAAGGTTAGAAGTTTCAGTGGAAGTGACGACGAAGACCCAATAGAGTGGTTTGACGATTTCGAGCACGCTGCAGAAGCGAATAACTGGTCTGACGAAAGAAAGCTCAAAATAGCTTCCGGTTATTTAAAAGGATTAGCGGCGGAATGGTACAAAGATAATAAAGCAGGTATAGAAGAATGGAAAAATGATAACGAGCAAGACAAGAGTTTCTACCACCTGTTGGTTGCTTTCTTTGCTACTCCTGAAAAGCAGCACCAGTGGCACATCTAGTTGAATAACCTAACCCAACTCGAAACCGAAAAGGTGGACGCCTATGCTACCAAGTTTAAGAAACTCTTGAGCCTTGTAGACCCAACCGACTCCCTACCCATTCAATATATTGTAAGGATGTTTTTAAGCGGGTTGAAAGGAAAAACGGCAACCTTTGTAGCAGTAACGTCTCCAAATAACCTTAACGAAGCCATTGCGGCAGCAAGGAAAGTTGAGGCAGGTGAATATTATGGCACTCACCTACGTGAAACGTCAATAACCCCTGACAAAAAAGATGAAATAATTGAGGTGTTAGTAAAGCAAGTACAACAACTCTCGGTAAACTATGCCACCGCCCATCACCAAGAAAAGGATACACGTGAAAAAGAAAGGCACCGGGAGAGTTTCAAGACAAAAAAAGAAATCGTCTGTTTTAGGTGCGACGAGAAAGAACACATCGCTAGGTACTGTATGTCAGAAGGGAAACCCAGGGAACCTATCGAAAGAGAAAGACAAGTGGATAATGTTAGAAGGGTAAATTATTGTGAACATGAAGAACAAAGTGAAGAGGAATTATACGCAGCGGATAAAAGAAAACAGCAAATTCAGCCCGAAAATCCTGAAAAAAGACCTAAATTGCAATTAGAATCAAAGTGGGATAACAGGCTCCGGCCCCAAGTAGAAAATGAACCACTTTTAGTAGACGTAGGAGACCAGTTGGAACCTATGGAATTAGATGAATCAAGAAAAATTAGGAGACCAAGAAAAAAACGTGAACTATCGGTGATAGATAAGTTGACACTATATAACGTGATGGACGATATTTTATCCTTACCAGTTAGAGCTACAGTGGGGCAAATGTTACAATACCCAAACCAAAGAAGAAACCTGGCTCAAATATTGCGCCGGCCCCTTGCAGCCCAAGAAATCCAAGAAACCCCAAAAGAAACCCAAGAAACCCACGTAGTAAACTTTGGAGATACCCAAAAGACCATTGTCGCCCATTGTTATGTAAGAATCAAAGGAAATCCCATTAGGGCCATATTAGATTCGGGCGCTGCAGTGAGTATAATGACAAAGAAGCTAATGGACAAGTTAAGATTAAAAATAGATAAGCCATCCTCAACAGTAGTAATCACAGCAACCAGTACCAGAACAAGAGCACTAGGGCAAATCGATAACGTAAAGATAGCCATACAAGATATCCTCTTACCCAGTACCTTCCAAGTGATCGAATCCGCAGACAAAACTCTGTTACTGGGTAATGATTAGTTTCAAAAGGCACAAGCGCGAATACATTTTGACGAACAAAGGCTATTTCTTAAGCATGACGGCAAAAGAATTGAGGTGCCCATCTCTAATAATGGGACAAAGAAGTTAGAAGTCCCAGAAGAAAAAGACCAAGATAGTGATAGCAGGGACGAATTTGGTGAATATACTTATGAAGACGAGGAATTGGTTGAAGCGGAAGGATATTACACAGAAGAAAGCATCGAGAAAGGAAATGAATTGTTTTATAACCCCTGGGAAGAAGTGACGAGCCTGGCAATCTATTTAACGAATATAGAAGAGCTGCCAATACAAGAAACAAAAGAAATCAAAGAAACGGAACTTACTGTAGACAAACAAATAGAAAAGTTTCTCCAAAACGACGTCCTAGATAAAGAAATGAAAGAAAAAGCGAAAACATTCTTTAAAAAAGAAAGAAACCTTTTCACGAATGACATACAGGGGCTTGAGGAAACGACAGAAATAACTCACCAAATTGAGACTGACAAGGCTAAACCCATAAGACAAAGAGCCTATAGGGCATCACCAAGTGAAAATGAGTTTATTGAAAAATAGTTAAAAGAAATGGAAGAAAGAGGGTTAATTCGAAAATCTAATAGCCCATGGGCTTCGCCCGTGGTGGTGGTTCCAAAGAAAGGCGGAAAGTTACGACTGTACATGGATTACAGAAAATTGAATGAGATGACAAGGAAAGACGCATACCCATTACCAAGGATCGACGACTTGTTAGAAACCTTCAGTACCGCAAGTTGGTTCTCTACTTTAGACCTGAAAAGTGGATACTGGCAGGTTAGAATCGAAGAAAAGGATAAAGAAAAAATGGCATTTATCACACGGGGAGGTCTCTTTGAGTTCAACGTAATGCTGTTCGGCCTAACGAATGTGCCGGCTACTTTTCAAAGATTAATAGATCAGGTCCTAGAGAAGCATATCAGAAATTTCGTGGTTGTATATATCGACGATATTAATATATATTCAAAAACATTCAACGAACATTTAGGGCACCTTAAAATTGTTTTTGATAAGTTGGCTGAGGCGGGGTTAATGATCAATATAGAAAAATGTGATTTTTTTAAACCTACTATTCATTTCCTTGGACATATTATAGGTAGACAAGGGATCCGACCTAACGAAAATAAAGTGGAAAAGGTTAAAAACTACTCTAAACCAAGTACACTACGTCAGTTAAGAGGGTTTATCGGTCTGGCTTCCTATTATAGGAGGTTCATAAATAAGTTCGCTACAATAGCAAGGCCTTTGCATAAATTATTGCAAAAAGATGTTAGCTTTGAATGGGGACCAGAACAACAAAAGGCATTTGAAACGTTAAAAAATCACCTAACTATGGCACCTATCCTTAAGTACCCTGATTTTAACGATATGTTTTACCTGTACACCGATGCTTCCGGAACCGGATTAGGAGCTGTTTTGGCGCAAAAAGGAGAAAATAAGAAAGAACACGTGATCGCATATGCTAGTCGCAGTCTATCTAAAGCCGAAAGAAATTATTCGGCATATGAATTGGAGTGCCTGGCAGTTATTTGGGCGGTAGAATACTACCACCATTACTTCGGCTTTAAGCCCTTCGTAATTATCACAGACCATTCGGCACTTAAATGGTTACATAATACGAAGTTGAAAGGTAAAAGGGCCCGTTGGATACTCCGGTTACAACCCTACAACTACACCATTCAGCATAGGTCAGGAAATACTCATTGGAATACGGATGCATTGTCCTGGATAAATGAAAGAAATAATAATTTTGCGGAGATATATATGGCCACAGAAGAAAATAGTGAACGATTAGAAAGAGGGAAGGGCGAGGACCAAAAAGATAAAAAACAAACTAGCTTACCTGAGTTCAGCAAATTCCCTGAGCAGAAAGAAGAAATTTTCGAACCAAGAACCCAATAGGCAACCTTAATGTTATATATAAAGTTAGGAACTACGTACAGAGGAAATTTAGAATACGTAGGACCAAATAAATCTTATGGTAATATATACCAAACGTACTATCATCCAACCCATTTCGAGCACCTTGCGCTAGAAATCCTAGACCGAAGGAAAGCCATCTATTTAATAGAATACCATGGTTTTAATCTAGTGGCTTCGGACCCTAAACACTTATTGACGTTAAAAGACTGGGTAACCTTTGGGGCTAAACAAGAATTGGTTAGAAGAGAATACTTACGCGATACCGGGATCGACCTAGGATACACCGAACCATTAAATCTACAAGCAATTGAAGTCGAACGAGCTACCAACCTGAGGAATGATCGGAAGGCGATTTGTCTTGAAGCAGGGTTAGAGACCAACATTAATTAACACATATATATATATATAAAAAAAAAAAAAAAAAAAAAAACAAATAATAAATAGAAGATTAAAAGAAAGATATTAAGACATACCAAACCCGATGATAAATCCAATCCAGCTCAGGTAGTCGGTGTCCTGGCGAAAGAAATCCAAGATGGAAATAGAAGTTTACAACCAAATAAAAAGATACTTACAAGAAGGATACATAGAAAGCGGCCTAGATAAGAAACAAAGGAAACGATTAATTAACTACGGAAGATCTTTTATGTTAAAAAATGGATTAATATACAAGAAAAATAATAAAAACCTGGACCAACCTTTAAGAGTAGTGCAGAAGCATGAGATCAACTCCATCCTCCTGTTAACATATGACCACCTACTTGGAGGGCACTTCGGAGCTAAGATCATGTTCGAAAAGATCCGTAGGACATATTATTGGCCACAAGCATTTGAATACATTAGAGAATATGTTCGAGCATGCGAAAATTGCCAAAAAAGAGGAAAGAATAAGTATAATGGACCTTTACGACCAATCCCAGTAACAGCACCTTTCTATAAAGTGGGAATAGACATTATCGGCCCTCTTCCAATTACGCCTCGAAACTCGCGTTATATAGTCGTGGCTACTGACTATATGACAAAATGGCCGGAGGCAAAAGCAATTATATCTGCTGATGCCCAAAGTGTAGCGGACTTTATTTTTGAAGACATCGTGTGTAGGCATGGATGCCCTGAAAAGTTATTATCCGACCGCGGTACCTACTTTAGGAATCAGTTGGTCGATAAGTTATTGGAAAAATTTAAAATAAAGTACCTCCTGTCAACACCGTACCACCCACAGACCAACGGTTTGGTAGAAAGATACAACAAGACCTTGTGTGAGTCCATAGCTAGATCAGTGGATAACGTCCAGAATTGGGATCTGATAATTCCTGCAGTATTGTTTGCATACCGCACTTCTAAACATGCAACCACTAAGAATAGCCCGTTTTACCTAATGCATGGAAGAGAAGCCCGCCAACCAATTAATCTGGAAGGAAAAGAAGAAATGTTAGAAGGAACGATAATACAAAGGACATTCCAATTGTTAGAAAACTTACTCGTAACCCGTCATGAGGCTGTGGTGAGAATACAACATGCCCAGCAAAAACAAAAGGAACGGTATGACAAAAAAATCAAAATCCCACCTAATTTATCCAAAGGAGATAAAGTCTTGTTATACCGTGCGTCGAAAATGTACAACAAAAGCGTGAAGTTAGAGCCAAAATGGGATAGCCTATTCTATATCCATCAAATACTAAATCGGAACGTGTACAAACTAAGAACCATAGAAGGAAGGGTCCTAGCAATACCGTTTAACGTTGCACTACTGAAAGAATACTACGATCGATCCTAATAGGATAACAAAGTAAAAAAAAAAAAAAAAAAAAAAAAAAAAAAAAAAAAAAAATTTTTTTTTAAAAAAAAAAAAAAAAAAAAAAAAAAAAAAACCTCAAAGTAGTTCTATTTAAATACAAGCTTAAAAACAAACACTATTTTTAAAAATTATATATACTAGTTGTTATCTATATATATCTTTATAATAACAATTTTTATTATATCTACTTTATACTAATCTAACAAAACAAGGTTTTTATAAGTTTTATATAATATCTAGTTAACAAAAGTTAACTATAAAATATACTTACAAGTTGTTATTATTTAGTAGTATTTAATATAATTTTTCTAAAATAAATATAATATAAATATCAATCTTTTAGCAAGAGTAAGCCAAATTTTTATTTTATATTATTAAGAAATAAAGAAAAATAATTTCAAGTTTAAAAATCTAGTTGTCATAGATATAAGAAGTAGTTCTTTAAAAAAATAGAACTAAAAGAATAGTTATATACTTAACCTAGCATAAATAAGTTGAATTTCTTCTTTACTTTTTCTTTTCATCTTTGATACTTTTTTTATTAAGATAATTTAAAGTTGCTCTACTAAAGTTAAATAGCTAATCAAAGAAGAGTTTTACTCTTTCTGATAATCACCTAAACTATATGTAGAGCAAATTTTTATTATTTAAAAAACAATAATAAAGCTAATATTTTAAAAAATATATAGCAATATTAATAGAAAAATCAGTATAAGATATATTTAGACTAGAGTTTAATACTAGTTTATAAGTAGATACAAATAATATAAGCATAAGACTTGGCTTTAGTAAGAAGTAACTATTGAGGTTTTTTGAAGAAATATATTATTTGTTCTAAAATAATAAAAGAAAAAAATTAAAAAAAAGAAAAAAGAAATACTTACTACAGTATTTTAGCTGAGTCAAGTATTCTATTCTCTTTTACTACTATAGTTTTTGTAACTACTATTCTCTTTCTTGATTTTTGATTTTTTTTTAAATAATTATTTCTTAGATTGTAGACCAACATGAACAAATTTTCCTGCTGATTTACTTTTTTAAAATACAAAAATATCAAAAAAATAATTATAGATAATAAAATTTAAAAATAAAGATTATCTTTTTGTAATATTTGTTTTTATATTATAAAAAAAAAATTTAAAGTTATATATGAGCTAAAAATAGTTAATTTTATAAAAAAATTTTTCATAAAAATTTTATCAGTATTTTAAGACAAACTTGTTTAATTTAAGTTTTAGAAATATAATTTATTAAGCAATTTGATAAAACCTTTAAAGGATTACAATTTAATTATTATAACCTTAATATTTAAAGTTTTATTTAAAAATTATAAAAATTAAAAGTTAATGCAAGCAAATTTGCTTGTATTATAATTTAAGGAATAGGGATTTAGTATATTTCTATACAAAGATCAATATTGTTAACTATTTCTAAATTAGAATATGTTTGTTAATACATAATATTACATAGAAAAATAACAATATGTAAAATTGCTAAACATATAAGACAATCTGTTTGGATCTAATTATAGAATAAATATAAACAATGAGATATATATATTTACTATTATGTAGTATAATAGTTTTATCAACTGAGAAAAGATTCTTTTTCTTAAATTATATTTTTTCTTTACTTTTTTCTTTTATTTATATTTTTTTTTCAATTTAGTATTTTTATACCTGTTGTTACAAGTAGTATAATTTAAGCTTTCTTGTATATTAACTATAATAGGAATATAGCTATCTAGAGATTTTAAAAAGTAGTATCAAAGAGAAAGTTATAATTCTTGTATCATTAAAGAATTATATATATCTCTAAGAGAAGCAGTTTATTTTTTTTAATTTAGATGATCTTGCTCTTCATTTATTAAGAGAAAACATACATGATATTATAACAAAAATAAAACTAATCTAAATTAGCTATATAACTGCCCTCTTTTTCCAATTCTGGACTCACTCGGCTGCCTTAGGTACCCAAGTATGATCAGTTGCAAAAGTGATTTTCCTCCTACTAGAGCAGTTTGCCTAAGCAAATTCATGTTCTAGTACTCCATAGAAGGCTCCTCTGCGTCTATTCAAGATCCTTTAGTTA